AAGGCAGGAGGGTCCCTTGAGTCCAGGAGTTCAAGACCAGCCTGAGCAACATGGGGAGACACTGTATCTTCATTTTTAAAGAAAATGAAAAACCAAAATGTATAGGATGTAGCTAAGGAGAACAATTATAACTTTAAATGCCTGGGTTAGAAGAAAGGTTTCAAATCAGCTACATAAATTTAACCATAGGAGTGTAGAAAAATAAAAGTATATTTATAAAATAAGTAAAGGAAGTATGAAAGAGAAAGCGAACAGCAAAGCCAGAAGCTGGTTCTCCAATTGATAAACCCTATCGAGACTGACCAAGAAAAACACATGCACAAATTTCATTCCACCGTCAGGAACGAAATGGAATACAAATCTTACATACATCAAAAGATACTATGAATAACTAGATAAAATATGCAAATTTCTTAAAAATAACTTTATGAAATGAACACAAGGAGGAACAAAATCTGAGGAGTCTTACATCTATGAAGGAAATCGGTTTAGAGTCAAAAATCTCCCAGAAAGATGAGATCTCTAGGCTCAAGTGCTTTCACTAGTTAATTCTAACAAACTCTTACAAATGGCATAATAGAATTCATAGAAGCCCTTTCAGAAGAGGAGAGAACCCTTCCCAACTCATTTAGGAGACCAGCATGAACCTATAGTTAAAGGACAAAGATCTTACAGGAAAAATTGTAGATCAATTTCCATCAGAAACATAGACATAAAATTCCTTGGGTATCTACCCAGAGGAAAATAAGTCATAATATGAAAAACTCACTTGCTCACGCATGTTTATAGCGGTACAATTCGAAATTGCAAAAATATGGAACTAGCCCAAATGCCCATCAATCAACGAATGGATAAAGCACATGTGGTGTATTTATATCACAGAATACTCAGCCATAAAAAGGAATGAAATCATGGCATACACAACAATGGATGGAATTGGAGACTACTATTCTAAGTGAAGAAACTCAGAAATGGATAACCAAACATTTTATGTTCTCACTCCTATGTGGGAGCTGAGCTATGCGGACGCAAAGGCATAAGAATGATACAGTGGACTTTGGGGACTTACGGGGAAGGGTGGGAGAGGGGAAAGAGATGAAAGATTACACATTGGGTACAGTATACACTGCTCGGGTGATGGTGCACGGAAATCTCAAATCACTGCCAAGGAACTTACCCATGTAACCAAAGACCACCTGTTCCTCCAAAACCTTAAAAAAACCCCAAAACCCAAAAAACCAAAACAAAACAGATGCAACAAAATATCAGCAGACTGAATCCAGCAATATTTTTAAAGGTTAATACATCATGATGAAGTGGGGTTGCAAAATGCAAGGTCAATTTAATATTCAAAGGTCAAGCAGTGGTACTTACCGTATCAGTAGAACAAGGGGGACGTCTTCAAATTGACAACATTCACAAGAAACCCACAACAAGCCTCACACCTAATGGTGAAAGATGAATTGCTTTCCCCCTCGGAATGGGACCAAGGTAAGGATCTTCGCTTTCCGCTTCCTATTGACATTGTACTAGAGATTCTGGCAGGGCAATAGGGCAAATAAAGTAAATTTTAAAAGGCATAAAGACTGTACTGATTTAGCAGAACATTGAGGGGGAACTAAAGACGATTGTACTGGAAGGGGCAAAACCGTCTTTATTAGACGACAGCAAGATCGTTTATGTAAATCCTAAAGAATCTATTTTAAAAACTAGAATAGTTTTCTAGTTTTTTTCTAGTAAGGTACTAGATACAAGGTCAATATATAATCATTGCATTACTATATTCTAACATCAAACAACTTGTAAACTTTTAAAATACTTAGTAACATTAAAAAACATTCAATAGAAATAGATTTAATGAATGATGTAGAAGACTGAAAACTCCAAAACACTGCTGAGAGAAAATATTAAAGACGGAAAGATGTTTTCCAGGACTGTGAGATTAAATATTATAAACATGTCAGTCATCTCCAAATTGACCTGACAGATTCAATTTAATCCCAGTCAAAATCCTAATAGAATGTTGAAAAAAGAAATGGAGAATTTGAGAACATATATGGAAATGCAAAGTAGAATATTTAAGCTTCAAAAAGACAAGCCAGGGGTGGCCTGAGCTAGAGGACTCATGTATGTCTGTATGCTTGACGTAAGTGTAGATAATTGAATCAATGGGAAAAAGATGCAGGGTCTAGATGCACACGCATAAAATCAGCCGACTGCACAAAAACAGACGCTCCACGACAATTCAGCAAGGAAAGTGCTCAGCGGATGCTGCTGCCGTGACGGCACAAACGTGCAGAGAAGGAAGCAGCCCGGCGCTCCTCACTACAGCTTAACTCAAGGTCGCTCACTGACCTCAGCGTGAAGCTAGAAGCTCTAGAAACAAGCATATCTTTGCCACCTTGGTGCAAAGACTTTTCTAGAGAGAACACACAAAAAAGCTAAACACTAAAGAAAAAATTGATAAATCGGATGTCATCAAAGAAAAAAGAAAACATTTGCAGTACTATATCTGGCAAAGAATTTTTATCAAAAGTATATTCTACAAATCGACAGCAAGATGAACAACTCAACTGAAAAATGGGCAAACAAGGCTGGGCATAGTGGCTCATGCCTGTAGTCCCAAAACTTTGGGAGGCCCAGGCAGGAGGACTGCTTGAGCCCAGGAGTTTGAGACCAGCCTGGGCAACATAGGGAGACCCTATTTCTTAAAAAAAAAGGGCATGGTGGTGTGCATCTGGAGTCCCAGCTACCTGGGAGGCTGAGGGAGGAGAATGGCCTGACACCAGGGGACTTCCGGGAGCCCTGATCAAACTTGGGCACTCCAGCCTGGGCAACAGAGGGAGACCCTGTCTCAAAACAAGAAAGAAGTCACACCCTGGAATGCTAACAGCTATTAAAGAATGCAGTAGGTCTACGTGCAGGAACAAGGAAAGTTGATATTTGGCTAAACAACAACAAAAAATGCAGATTGCAAAACTCTGCACAGTGGTCCAAATTTTGTTAAAAATAATCAGCATTAGTAATGTGGAGACAAAGATGTGAAGACAGGGGCCAGGCGTGGTGGGTCACGCCTGTAATCCCAGCATTCTGGGAGGCCGAGGCCGGCAGATCACTTGAGGTTAGGAGTTCAAGACCAGCCTGGCCAACATGGTGAAACCCTGTGTCCTCTAAGAATACAACAATTAGCAGGGTGTGGTGGTGCATGCCTGTAACCCGAGTTACCAGGGAGGCTGAGGCGGGAGAATTGCTTGAACCTGGGAGGCGGAGGTTGCGGTGAGCCAAGGTTGCACCACTGCACTCCAGCCTGGCCAACAAAAAGAGAAAAAAAGACAAAAAAGACTGCCGGTTGGGAGGCCTGAGGCACTGAATCTCTGCCTTGGTGACTTCTTCTTGCTCTGCAACGGCTGCTGGGCACTCAGGGAGGGCATGTCCTTGGCGGGCATCCTGGGGAAAGGCCAGGAAAGGGGCGCAGCGCCGGACGCCCCCTCCTAGCCTGGGGGAGCGTTGGCGGGGTGCTCGCTCAGGTGGGCCAGGTGAGGCGGTAGGGCTGGCGGGGGGGAACACACACCCGGTCCCCTGCCCCTCACCTGGCAGCCCCTGACCGGGGAAGCGGAGGTCTTCGTGGGGTGCCGATTCCCTCCCCCTCCCCACAGGCACTGGGCCCTGGGTGGCCACCTGGGTGCGGGGCTCCCACTGCTCCAGGCCCTCCCCGGGGGTGTCTCCGTGGCCGCGCTGGATTGTGGTGCAGTGGCCGGTGTCCCCTGCAGGAAGCCATTCTCATTGGCCGCTGCCTCCACCTGGGAGGGAATCGCCTGGATCTTGGGTCCTGGGTCGTCACCTGTGTCCCCAAAGCCCAGCCCCGAGTCTGGGGGCATGGGACTGGATGTGCTGTGGTGGGCGGAGGCTTCTGCGGCCCCTCCATGGCAGGGACAGCGGGGTGGAACAGGGTGAGGCCGCGGGGCGGGACGGCGCGCACCCGGAGGACAGCAGGGGACACTGAGTGCTCCTGCCAGCCTGGGCGCCGGGCAGGGTCCCAGAGGGCAAATGGGGCCTTGGGAGCAGAGTCTGGGCGGCCCTGGCTCTCCGCTCCACTTCCGTCTGGCGCAACGTGACCATCCCTTTAGTCCCCAGGACAGGGCGATCAGCCCGTGTTTTGCAGCAGCGTCAGAGTGGCCCAGCCAAGACTCATCCCCAGGTGCGGGGCTCCTGGCTTCCGTGCTCCAGCCCCCACCCCGACTATGCAGGTCCCATCGGGAGCCCGAGGTGACACTCCCCTACTATCAGAGCCCCTCCTCTTTCTCCGTGGTCTCCCCGCCCTTTGCCCAGCTGGGACCCCTCCAAGCCCCACAGCTTCAGAGCAGAGGAGCCGTTGACAAAAAGAGCTGGGTCACCCGAGGCAAGTCCCCTCCCCTTCATTCTCTTCACTGCTGACTGGCAGCCACAGCCCTCGGTGGGTACCAGAGGGCACAGATGACCCACTCCGACTGTAGGAAGGCCAGTGGAGTGCTCGTCCAGCCACTCCGGGACCCTGTATGCTCCCTGGGACTGCCAAGGCCAGGTGCACACGACAGGCCACCCACTGTCCTCAGCCCAGCATGCCCACTCCTGCTGGCAGCAAACAGGCTGCCTCCCCAAGACACTCGACCAGGGTCAGTCAGTCAGGAACCCTTCAGCAGAGGCAGACCACAGGCCGGCCCCACCCCCGCCCCACCAGACAGGCCAGCAGGAGGGCCCAGGCCTCAACCCCGCCAGAGCCAAGAGCCATCGCCTCCAGGTACAGGAGCACCCCTGGAGGGCCACAGCTAACGGGGAGTGTGTGGGCGTTCCAGGGACAGGCCTCAGGTTTGCGAGCTGGCGGGGCCTCCAGGGAACGAATGCTCCTGTCCTTGGGCCGGGCCCGGCCCGCCATCTGCAGGCCTCAGACAGCCCACTGGACCCACTAGGCACCAGGAAGGCAGAGGGCAGGCAGCAGGGAAGTGACAGACACACCCACACCATCATGTCAGAGGGAAAAGTTTATTGAGTCAGCCACAGAGGAACAGAGAAACAGACGCAGGGAGGTTCCCGGTGCAGAGGCAATCAGGGCGCTGCACGAGCGAACCTTGTGCAGGACAGAGCGGGTGCAAACAGCAGTGCATGCCACGAACGTTCACCTGGCAAAGAAACATGACAGAACCCAAGGGCTCTGTGTCCAGACGGACACAAACATGAGGCCACTTACCCAACTAACAGGAAAGTCATGAATGACATGACCCTTCCTGACGACCTCCTCCTCCTCCTCCTAAAACATAACATTATGTGTTTAACACACACTTATACCATTGCTAAATCAGCAAGAGCTATTAGAGTGCTCCAACTTAATAAGTTGATAAAAAGCTGTTCTGTGGCCAGTTCACAATGGAACTAAATAGTTTCGTTCCGAGATGCCTGGGGAGTTTCTCTGACAGCGAGGCATCTCCAACACGCGGGTCATTCTGTCACCAGGAGCTGGTCTCAGTCCACGGCACAGAGTGACATGCCCCTGACAGCCAGCCCTGCGGAGGGCAACGGGCAGCCGCTGGGAGGGGTCCTCGGTCCTCCTGGAGGCCCAAGGAGGGGCTGGCCAAGGGGCCACCTCGAGGTTTGGGGGCTCTGGCCGGAGAGTGATTGCTGGCTTTGCATGAGGAGGTGACAAGAACTTTAGGCTGGGTCCCCAGCATGCTGTGTGCACGGGCCTTGTTCAACCCAGAACTGAACTGACACCTCTCCCAGGTGGTGAAGGGTAGAACCCCCCAGGAGCTCTCGGAAGCAGGGGTCCCTCACGACAGGCCTGTGGCACCAGGCTTGGAGGCAGGGAGCTGGTGTGTCTCAGAGGCGGCGTGTGCTGCTGGGAGGCGGAGGGCAGACGGGCCTGCCTCCGCGGCAGCAGTCACCTGCACGCTGTGCGGTGGCGACAGCTGGACCACCGCTGAGGCAGAAGCGAAACAGCGTGGGAAGAGCTGTGTGTCTTTCCTGAAGCCGGTTCACGTCTAGTGTGGACAGCAATATTTGGTGTTTTGCAAACTTGGTCTGTAGTAGGTGTCACTATCGCTGGTGGCCGCAGAAGCCATTAGCCACAAAAGGGTTTTTTAAACATGCCACCCGGACATCACGGCCCCAGTGGTGGAGAGCCAAGGGCGGCCACAGCAGCCCTTCTGCCCCACTCTTGTTGCCCTGAGGGCTGCTTCCTGCTCTGCTTTGGGGTTCTAGGTGGTCACAGGCCAAGTCCTCCACAGGTGGGGCCTTCGAGAAACACTCCCGAGGGCTGTTGGAAGCCACTAACCATCTGTGGAGCCACTAACGGCCCTGCCTCCCCCCAGGGGACAGGACTGGACAGAGCGCTTCTCCCAGGGGCCCAAGGCTTTCATGGGCAGGGGTCCAAGGGGCAGCACAAAGGGCTGGCATGCTCAGTGGCGGGTTGGATGATTCCAGCTCAGACCCCTGCCTGGCGCTGAGAAAAATGGAACACTCCAAGGCTAGCTCTTCAGCCACCAGGCAACGTCATGATGCCAGTCCACTGACAGACCTGGGCAAGAGGTCACAGGCAGGCTGGCCCAGCTGAGCGCCCATGGCCTCTGCCCCTTCCCACCAGCTCGCATTCCTGGAAACTTCTGCCATGTGTTAAGGGGAAGCTTGCCAAAAGATTCTTGACTTAGCTGACTTTGATAGGGAAGAAAACCAACACAAATGAGACCAACGTCACCCTAGTTTGTAACTGGTCTGTGTGCGGTACGCAAGACTCGACCGACCGACACCCCGCCTGACACCCCAGTCACCACCAGCCTGCACGGCCCAAACCCCGAGGGCGCCATGAGCCCAGCTCCAGCTGCGCCCACAGCACTGGGTGCCTGGCTAGCTTCCCCAGCGGGCACCTGCACAGCTTCCTCGTCCTCCTGGACATGGCTGCCAGCCAGAGCACCTCCCCTTTGACAGTGAATGGCGTCCCCAGCCCCACCTTGGCACTGCATCTATCCGAGGTACAAGGTTAGAAACCACAGACACCTGAGCTGCCGCCTCACCCACGCAAGCTGCGGGTACGTGGACAAGACGGCCTGCCCGCCTGCCCGCCTGCCCTTCTCGGCTTCCCTTAAGACACAAGGTGACGACATGGACAGTTTCAAGTGAGTGCAATGTGGAAATAATCTCCGTGCAAGGGAGGGGCTGAGGCTAAAGGATGTGGCAGCCTGGCCCTTGCTGTGGCCAGGCCGGGCCCACATGAACCGTGAAGAAACCGACGCTGCTGACCCTGAACCCCAGCCCCCGCTGCTCCCCTTCATTTCAGGTCCGCAAGCTGACCGGACCTCCGCACTAAGAAAGACTTTGGTTGGCAACACCTGAAGGGCTGAGAGCTTGACTAGTCCAGTGTGCATCCCCCGACTTGTCACTGAGGAGCACATGACAGTCACGCCCATCTCTGGCTGGCAATGGCTTTCGGGGTGTTCACACTCTGACAGTGACCATGGCAAGGCCACGTGGAGAGCACTGAAGGCCTTCGTTATCCTTACTTCAGATTGGTCAAGTCGAGGCTGGGATCTCCAGGGTGAACACACTGCTCAGAGCGGGGTTGCGAAGCCCCTCTTCCTCAAAATCAAGTTGCAGCCCGGGCCTGAGACTCCTGCACTCCCAGATGGCAGTGAACCGGCTTTGGTGAGCCCTATATCTGGCCCCTGGGCCTTCAGCTGAGGGAGGGAGGGAAGCCTCGGCGAGGGGCGGCCCCCGGCTGAACCCGCGTCTGGCGTGGCTTGGGTCGGATCTGGATTCAGGTCAGGTCACTGCCACCCTGCATCCGCTGCTCTCCTGCCTCCATCTGCTTTCCAGTCGCCAGGACAAGAAGCCGGAGAAACCAGCTAAGATACCGGCTGCGCCTCGAGGTCCTGACAGCACAGCCAGGTCTCGGAGTGGGGACCTACAGTCTAAAGCCACTAGAGGGTCAAGTTGCATAGTGAGCTGCCACGGACGCCGGCCGAGGTGAGGAGGCCAGGGGTGCCGTCCTCCCGAGGAGAAGGGCTTCCGCTGGCGGAGGGCTCGCAGCAAAGGCGGCAGCACGTTCACTGGTGGGACTTGCCCTGTCCAAGCATGAGATTCACAAGGCCATCCTCAAGTTTCCATACAGAGAAGAAATGTTCTTGAAGTCCTGAAGTCAGTCCTCTGCGATCCTGGGACACCGGAGCCTGGCGGATGCGCCGCACGTGAGCAGGCAGCCAACTGCCACCCGGACACAAATGACCTGCAAAGTGCCACTAGTGGCCGAAGACGTGGCAGCACCAGAGGCCCATCAAGTACATTAAACAGTCGTTTCTTTAAATACACAGAAAATTCAAGTAATTTATTTAAAAACTGCTTTAGTTTCATCTTGAAATATATCTATGTGTCTATATATATTTGCTCTAGAATGATATTGCAGCATGATCCTCATGCATTCCAAAGGACTTTATTGAAAAACGACTTGAGGCAGCAAAAGCATTACAACTGTCTGACTGTATCCGTGTGGCGTGCGGGGCCTCCGTCTCCTGATCTCAGTAGGCTTACGCCAACCATTTTGAATCGGAAGCGTAGGAACGGCTTGGTTCTGAAGAGCCTGTGGTTTGGAAAACATTTCCAAGCAGCCTCAGTGCTTGCTGGAGTTCTGCGTCTTTGCTGAAACCAGAATGGTAGCGCAGAGCCCTCTGGTGGCACGGGCTCTGCCGTCTAGACAGGTTTCCCCGTGCTCCTGTCCTGACTCCAGCGTCGAGCAGGTGAGCAGGTGAGGAAGCCGTGGAGTTCCGACAGGTTCCAGCATGTACGTCCCCTTCTGGAGCGGGGAGGCTCTCCACATCCACACGCCCGAGGTAGCCTGCGGCGGGGCTTGGGAGGCAGGGCCGCCGGGAGCTCTGCTCTCAGGAATCCCCAGCAAATGGTTTAGCGATGAATCAAAAGTGCAGCGAAAGTCAACATTTGGGGTCTGGAGGGGTCTGGAGGGGCAGCCTGGCCTCCTAGGAAAGTCCTTCAGCCGGGATGAATGGGGTCACATGTCTGGGTGCAGACACCCTCTTGAGCACATGTAATCGCCCGTCTGGAGCTCACACTTCACCCCGCACGTGGTGCACAGCCCATCCCTGGCGGCAGGGTGTCTGGGAGCCGCCCCTGCAAACCACTGCCTTCTGCCCGGGCCCCCCGACCAGCCTCCTCCCAGCTTTGGTGTGTGGCCGCTGCCCAAGGACACGGCTGCCCCGGGCACAGTGTGTCAAACTTGCTGAGGAAAAGAAGAGATGCTGTTCTTCTAAGAAAACCACATTGTGGAAAAGAATTTTTTTTTCTAAAATAATCATAAAGAAAAATACTCTCCAGTAGCTGCAGCACCAGCTGAAGTGACGGGATCTGCCAGTGTCAACATCTGCAGGCGTCCGCAGAGGGGGGATCGGATAAAAACGTTTTAGTCACTGACTACACTGCCGTTACCTGGAGCACTCAGATAAGGCGTAGCACAGAATGTCACATTTTGTTTTCAATTATAATTCTAGAAATGTGAAATCTTATTTTTTCTAAATTGCTTGTCTATATAAATGTTTTATAATTTAAAAACATGCAGAATAATATACCTGCAGAATAAAGGAGTTGAAATTAACAGATCTTTTTCAATTAAAAAATATTTCAAATGATTTTTTTAATCATCAAAAAAGTGGTTAGTGTGGTATTTTTGCCTACTAGCTCAAACCTACCCTATGACGACTGAATTGTGACTATGGGGCGGAGGGGCTTGGGCCTGCGCTGCCGGGGCGGCCACCGTAGCTGCCGGGCTCCATGGTATCTGCTCCCGCCCGTGGCCGGGCCCTGCCATCCACCCGACTGCCCGCCCGCCCACCTGGCGGGATGTGTGTAAATGGGAGTGCGGCTCAGACCATGGACTCCGTCTCCACCGGTCCCGGCAGGCCCTCCTTCCGCATGAGCTTCAGCACAGTGGGCTTTTCCCTGCTCCCTCCGGCCCCGCCTTCGCTGGCCAACTGGGAAGACAGGCCTTTCTGCTCTTCCCTGGCCTCCTCTGACGCGTCAGGATAGATCACCAGGAATGCGGCCGTCAGGAAGCCCAGGAAAGAGCCCACAGAGGCCACCATGGGGATGACACGGACAGTCCCCACAGCGTCGACCACGCCCCCAAGGGCTGAGGCCACCAGGATCTGGGAGATGTACACCTGGCAGGACAGGATGGCACAGTCGATGCCAAAGCCTCGCTTGGAGTTCCCGGGGCTGTGGTGGACATACTGCAAGAGAGGAAACATGAGGGTGAGTGGCTGAGAGGGCGGCCACCACCCAGCCCTGCAGAGCTGTGACTATTAACCCAGCAGCTTGGAAACACAACCTGTCCTCCACTGAGCTTCCTGGCAACCGCTCCTGCCTGAGCACCTCCCCTACCCTCAACTCCTGCCCAGCACTGTGCAGGCGGGAAGGTGGAAAGTTCTAGCACAAGGAGAGGGCAGGCGTGGAAGGAACTCTGTCAAACTGATGGGGATGTGGGCTTCCTAGGAACGTGGCCTCCAGTCTCAAGGAGAGGCGGCAGGGCCGGGCTCCACCGGGCTGCCCGCCTCACCCTGGCAGTCTCCCCAGGGGCTGAGAGGCAGTGGGGCCGTGAGCCCAGGTGGATGCTTCCCAAAGTAAAACTGTCGGTGGCCACAGGCAACAAAGCAGCGGGACCCACAGAAACAAGCAGCTTCATTTGTGTTTCTTGAACAAAGACACAAAAGAAAGGTGCTGTTCATACACCACCGCTGTCAGACGTGTGACTGGTCAGACAGCATCTCCACAGGAGGCTTTCTCCTAGAGGTACTGAGAAAAGGTCAATCCGCTATGAAGATAAAGCAGCTCCAAATGTGTACACCAGGATCCCAGGGAGACACTTCAATGTACCTTTCCTAAACAGACAAGAGCAGTAAGAGAAGAGCAAAGCAACGTCAAGGCTGACCTCCCTGACAGAGACAGGGCACCAGGTGCATGACCCACGTCCTTTCCAAGTGCACACGGAGCATTTCTCAACACGCGAGATGTGCCGGGCCACCAAGGAAGCCGCAACTAACTGCAAGGCTGCGCTCACGTGGGATACGTTCTCTGGCCACTAAGGAATCACACTGGACATCAGTAACAACATGACAACTGGAAACAGCCCAAATGTTGGAATGCCATCAATGTCCTTCTAAATAGTTCACAGTTCAAAACAGAAATCACAATGAAAATTATAAAAATCTTTGAAAACACGTTAGAACCCGCACACAGTGCAGCGAAAGGTGAGTGTAGAGGGAAAGCGGCCTTATCTGCAAACATGAGGCTGGAAGTCGGGTAAGACATGAGCAACAGCAAATTAAACCAAGACATAACAGAAGGCAGGAGACGGCAAAGGTGGCAGCAAACATGCGAGCACACGGACGCGCGGCAGGGAAGGCTGACACCAGAGCTTCCTCGAAACACGCATCAGTGCTCTCAGGTAACTAACACCGGAAGGAAAAAGGGGGTACCGCTACAGGTTCTGTCTCGTTAGATCATAAGACTACTGTAAGCAATTGACTGCTAATAATTCTGAAAGTACAGATGACATGGACACATTCTCAGGAAAACACAAATCAAAGCATCATACTTCTGGGCCGGGTGCCGTGGCTCATGCCTGTAATCGCAGCATGCTGCAGGGGTGAGGCAGGCGGATCACCTGAGGTCAGCAGTTTTGAGATCAGTCTGGTCAACATGGTGAAACCTCGTCTCTACTAAAAATACAAAAACTAGCCAGGCATGGTGGTGGGCACCTATAATTCCAGCTGCTCAGTGGGCTGAGAGGCTGAGTTCGTGCCACTGGACTCCAGCCTAGGTAGCAGAGCGAGACTGTCTCATAAAAAAAAAAAAAAGCATCATACTTCCTAGAAAGATATTAAGTGAGATATTAAATACTCCCTGGTTGATTTGAAAGAGCAAACACCACTTCTGTTTATTTTGTATTGGAGGTTCCAGCCATTCCAGGAAGGCAAGGAAAATAAGTAACACGTATGCAGAATCAGGAAGGAGGAAATACAGCTCATTAGACACAGATGATGTGGCTGCGTAAGTAGATGGCCCAAAGAATCTCCAGATGTGCACGGAGGATTAATAACAGAAGGGGATGGAGCACTTCGGTATTGGAAGCTCCATACTACGAAGTCATTAACTCTCCCCGAATTGACCGATATAATTTGTTTTTAATTTTAAAAGCCCAGAAGCTGAGTCTAACATTTAGATGGCAAATAAATGGTTAAGAATAGCCAAGTCAATCCTGAAGAAGAACAAAGTTGAGGGATTTCTACCACCAGGTTTTAAGGCTTATTATAAAACTAGTTTAATTGAGAAGGTTGATGTTTCAGTAGACAAACAGAAGAGAGCAGAAACACACGCTTACACGAAAGCCCAATTTATGACAAAGATGGCACTGCACAGAGGAAAGGGAACGGCGCTGCGTCATGACCTGGGCAAACACCCATATGTAGTGGGAAAAAATGAAAGTCTTGATCCCCTACCTCAAACCATACACACCACATCTACTCCAAGGTGACTGTCAACCAAGAGCAAGGGCACAAAAGGAGGTGTGGCCAGGGACGCTCCAAGAGTGCTACCTGCGACAGCATAGCCCAAATGCCCACAAAGCAGGAAGCGTCTGGCCACACACTGCGACATGAAAAGGCTGGCCGTGCTGCCGCCAGCATGCATGTGAGTGAAACCCAGAGATGAAGCCAGGTGTTTCAGCTGCATAAAATCCAGAAGGAGACAAAAGTCTGTGCGTGCTGTGTTTACTGGGCACTGGAGATAAAATTCGTCTCATCTGTGATGTGCGACGATGGAACATACACGCAATTTCAATGATTAGCAAGAGTGTAAAATACCATGGTGATTTTTTGATATAGAGTACATGTTGAAATGACGTTTCACCAGGTTAAATGAAATATGCTAGCTTTCACTGGCCATCCCACTTTCTAAATGTGGCTAAAAGGAAGTGGAGGCACACCTGTGTGGCTCTCCTCCCACCCCACTGGACAGGGCTGGCTGGAGCTTCCCCCTCAGGGAACTGTGACTGGGCCTGAGGGGACCAAAGGAGCAGGGACAGTGCTTCTGCCTCCAGAAACCTCTGGGAGGTGCTAGGGGGTGGGGGTGGCTGAAGAAGGCCCTTTGTGGCCAGGGGCCGCCCAGGGACAGGCGGTGGCTCTGTGGGCTTTGGGAGGAGCCATGTCAGAAGCAGAGACGGTGGAGGGCCATCTGTGTGGTGAGCCTCCCCCCGTGGAAGTGCAGGGCTCCGCTCTGAGGGTACAGAAGGCACTTAGGAGGCTGGGACGTGGCTCTCAGGGCCGCTGTGGCACGTACCTGCTTGATGTCGTGGTACTGGCCCAGCAGGGCGTAGGGGCAGTAAGAGATGCTCATGGAGACGATACCCATGGTGCTGATGGTGACCATGGCAACATAGACATCGGGAAACATGGCCATCACGGCAGTGCCCACGGAGAAGCCCAGTGTCCCCAGCACGTAGATCACTCTGACGCTCAGGTCGTAGTTGTCCAGGTACTTCTGTAACAGGGCTGCAGAGAGAGACACAGGGACAGGGATGGTGAGTGGGTGGCTGGCTCCTGTCGGGCTCCCTCCACCACCCCTTCCCTAGACCCTCTCATCCACCTAACCTTCCCTCATTCCAGCTGAATCTGGGCCTGCTCAGGCAGACACCGTGGCATGGACCTCTGGCACATGCGTGTAGCTCGTGGGCCCACTGGGAGGCCCAGTGGCTTCAGCACCACAGAGGGAAGTCGGCCCTCCTTATTCTAGGCCCTATAACCCAGCTCTTCCTGCAGCTCCCAGGGACCCCTGCCCTGCCCTACCAATCTGGGACCACTCAGTGCCTTCTCTGGCCTCACGCCCAGGACGATTTCTTCTGAGGTGGGCAGCAGTGGGCAGTTCTGCCTTGGGACATTGTTGCTGGTTTTTCTCATGGGCACCTCTGCTCTTCCCTCACCCTTCCTACCCGGTGGCTCAGAGGTCACCTCTTCTGGGAGAGTGGTCTGCTGAGAATTCCTCTGTTAAAGTGGTGGCAACAGCATGGGCCATTGCACCGGCTGCTGCTGACCAAGAGGCATTGACTTGGGCCATCCTCACGTCTAGCTTGGGCTGAATGACGCTGGCTTTCCCCAAGTTCAGAGTCCAGGCGGGCCAGCCTGACTTGCACTTGGCTCAGAGACCCCTGACCCAATTACCCCGGTTCCCGGTGAGCCTGGGGGCGCTGCCGAGGGACGGAAGCCTGCCACCCACGCCCATCCCTCAGGGTGAAACGTGCCTGCGCCCTGCTCCGCTGCCACTCTGCCCACCAGGCCACCATCCAGCTCTACACTGGGGCCAGGGACAGCATGTTGGGAGGTGCCACTGACATGGGACAGCGCCATGGGACCACATGAGCAGGACAGGCCCCAAAGGCGTCTCAGAAACATACTGCTCCCAGTGTCAGCCCACAGTGGCCTTTTCCCCTGAAATGAGGGGAATTTCCATGCTTCTCCCCAAGGGGCGGCCCTGTTCTGAGGGACCCGGAAGTCAGGGTGCGATTGATGGCCCCCGATTCTAAGGTGCAGAATTCTCTCGTCCACATTTCTGATCTGAGCGTTTTCTGGGCTGCGAATGCTGACCTGACCCAGCTCTTACCGGAGCAGATGGCACCAGTGGCTGCGTAGATGACCAGGCCCCAGCAGCCCATCTTCACCCCGGCGTTGTAGGCTTGCCAGGCGGTGGAGTTTGAGGCGGCCTGTTCCAGAAAAGAGACGGGGCTGATGAGGGCATCTCCAGGCCCAGGGGCGTATTTCCCATGGGAACGGTTGCTGGCCAGCTACTCATTTTAAGAGCGGTGACAGGAGAGTCCCCTCCAGGAGGAGGGCCCGCCCCAAGTCAGTTGCTGTCTGGTAAAGCATTTCCATGCCTCCCAGACCACAGACAATCTGTGCTGTGACTCTGCTACCGCAGCAAGAGGTGGGGTCTGGTCTGCGCTGCCTGCTCCCCTGTCTGGGCTGGGCTGGACTTGCAGAAGTCATGCCCCGTGGCCTTGGCCCTCTTTGAGGCACTGCATGGAGCAGCTCAGACTGGACTCGGAAGAGGAGGGACCGTGTGGAGACAGGCAGGAGGCCCGAGTGTGTGCTGAGGGCACCTTGGTTCTCCTGGCAAAAGCGGCCATGGGTGTGACCCACCTGTCACCACAGGACCAGAAGAGCCGCCCATGAGCCTGGAATGACTGACAGCAGGGCATCATTTGAGCTGTTCTGCTCTGGGGTAGGCTGACACAGTAACAGACACCCTGTTCAGCACCAGAATCAGCAGCTGGCATTCACGATTGCTCGCCGTGGGCCTCACTCCAGGATGGCCCTGACCAAGTTCCCAGGGGCATGCACAGGCCAGCTGCCTGCCGTGGGTCCCTCACCTGCACAGGAGGCTCCATGAGCCCTCCTTGACACGCGTGGGAACCAGGAAGAGGTCCCCCGGCCCAGCCTGCGAGTTTCTCGGTGAGCCGCAGGTAGCTGGAGAGGGCCCACTCCAGTGGTTGAGCACTCACCTTGGGGTCACCCTCGAAGATGACTTGGCCCATGAAGTCGGTGTAGAACACGGCCTCGGCGATGACGGAGAACCAGGTGAGGAGGTGGCAGAGGCACAGGCGCATCAGCTCCCTGGGCATCTTCAGCATGGAGAGCCACAGCAGGCGCACAGTGGTCTCGCCCTCCCCCTCCTCACTCTCTGTGTCTCCACTGGAGTTGGTGGCCCCGCTCTGGTTCCGGTGCCGGCGCCGCTGCCGCTGCCGCTTCTGCATGTCGTACAGGTCGCTCATGCTGCGCGACGGCTTGATCAGCACCACCGCGTTGGCACGCCGGTAGCGGTAGCAGTGGGACCCGAGCTTGCCGTAGTAGGAGAAGGTGCTGGAGGCCTGCCGGCGGAACGCGTGCCGCCGTCGCCGCACGGAGCTTGACGTGGCCGAGGGCTTCATGTCCACCCTGGCGTAGCCGCCGAGGGCATCTTTTGCCAGGGAGCCACTTCCGTTTGGGACTTTAGCTTCATTCAAGTGATTATCCAGCAAGGTCTCGTCCTCCTTGGTGGCTTCCCTGAGGAAGGTGGTCAGGTGGGGCAGCCTGGCCTTGGCAAGCTCCTGGCTGGTGCTGCAGGGGGTGGCAGGGTAGGAGGCGTCTTGGAAGATGGAAGGCTCGATGTCGTGCAGGAAGAGCAGCTCGGGCTCCAGGTCCAGCACGGCGTCCGGCACGTGCAGCGCCGAGTCGCTCTTGCTGCGCACGATGTCCACGTCCGGGTAGTCCAGGGCCAGCTCGTGCTCCGACTGCACCTCGTCTGGGAAGGCAGCGATGCCGTGCGGCGCGCCCCCGTCCAGGGTGCTGGGCTCCTCAGCGCTGCGCTCCTGCTGCGGGCTGTACTGCTCCTCCTCAATGCTGAACAGGTGCAGGGCCACGGACACCGTGAAGATGATGGCGGCGAAGAAGAAGAGCACCTGGTTCTGTGTCCGGAACCAGCTGCCCAGGAAGGTCTGCGTCCAGTCCAGCCCACCCAGCACGTAGCCCACGGCCCCGCCGAGGCCTGTGGGGGAGGAAGCAGCAGGTGGTGAGCCGGTGGCACGAGGCCACAGGGAAAGCTCTGGACGGGCCTCTCCCTCTAACGGGGCCAGGGCTGCACTCCTGTTAGGAGTCAGGGGATGCAGGAGGAGGCGGTAGGAAAAACAAAACCAGAAACTGCAGCTGACCTATCTCTGAGAATTCTGACCTGACAGGATCACCGCATGATCAATGAGGGGCAGACCGTCCCAGGACGGACACAATGCGTGCCTCCCGCGCTGAATGCCCTGCCCTCAGCACACGGAGCCTACCACATTGACCTGGACGGAACACCGCCCGGCTGGAGGTTGAGGTCAGTGCAGGGCCGGGAGGCTCACTGTGTAGGCAGTACATCACCCCAGCAGGCCTGGCCTCCTGCCCCTGGAGACTCCTCAGTGCCTCAGCCCACTGATCAGTGGTCAGGAGGGCTGCCCCTGGTTACCTTCCAGCCCTGAGACCCTGCCCACTGCCTCAGCCCACCATGCAGCCTGATGAGGTAGCACTGACCATGGGAGCACAGGCTCCTGTCCCCTCCCCACACCTGGCCTGGGCATGCTGGACCCCGGCCACCCTGCCTCAGTGCGGGAGTGTTACCGGCAGAGAAGGCGTGGATGTTGAGGGCCATGTCCTGCTCCTCGCTGTCCACCACGTCCAGCAGATAGGCGCGAATGGGCCCCTCGGTGGCATCGGCGCTGAAGTCCAGGACCACCACCCCCAGCACTGTGAGCACGATGCCGATGGGCTGCCGGCCGGGGACATCGCCAAGGGCCAGACCTGCGCAGAGCACACAGGGCAGCGGTCAGGTCCTCACACGCTGGCCAGGGTGGGCCCGAGAGCAAACAGCCACGTGGAAGGGGCACATGGAGGGGGCACAGCCACGAAGCCACGCCAGCCTTTCTGCACAAGAGAGTGGGGCTCTTTGGCTCAGATGCAGGGGACAGGAGCTAGGTTTTCTTCTGTGTACTCTGTGGCTTCCAGGGTTTCTTCTCCCCATTCGGTTAGTAAACCCTCTCCAAGGGTTTACTCACCCTTGATGTTCTTTCAAACAGAAAGTAGGAGAATGGTCCTTCCTACCCCAGCCGTCAGATTACGGCTGCTGTGCTGGAAGCGGTAACTCCGTGTCGCTAAGGAGGCCACACAATAGTGCAGACGTCTACAGGGCAAAGCACTCACGCCACAGACAACCCGTGGGCAACACTGACAAGGCTTCATGAGGCAGGTGCAGGGGGTCTCACGGGTCTGCTCTAGGTCTGAAAGGAAATGATACCCCAAACTTTGGAGGCTTTGCACGCAAGTTCTCGGGGCAGCCTGGGTTCAGGAGATGTGGCTCTGGAGAGAAAGATGCCAGGGGCCTCGCCTCCTACAGGTCCTCCTGCAAAAGGCTGCTGGCACCCAAAGGCAGCTGCCCCCATCCATGCCCCTCCAGCTTCGGGGAGTGTGCCCCTGAATCTAGAGCAATGTTGGCGGCTGAGGTTCAACCCGTCGCTTCCCACCAGGGAGACAAGCAGTGCCCTCCTGACGAGATGAGGGGAACTGTGGGCAGGGCCTGGGACTCAGGACCTGAGGTGCTGTGATTAGCCTGAATGCAGACACCTGCCCGTGGAGGTGCAGGAGAAGGGCTTTCTGCCCAGGTGGTGCTGCTGGCTGCCTCAGACCACGGGCAGGAGACAGCTCCGAGGCAGAGGGGCTGGGGCTCCCAAGCTGGCTGTATCTGGGTCATATTTGGGAGGACTTCCCGCAAAGACACAGTCCCGGGAAAGCCATGTTGTTTCCCTCTCCATTTAGGTAATAGTGGGGAGGAGAGGGCTGTTTCTGAGTGACACGGACAGGCTGGTGTGGGGGGCGGGAGCTCCGGGCCCAGCAGGCACCAGGGCAAGCTGCACCCCTACGCGCAATCAGAGGCATCGCCTGTTGGTGACAAAGCTTGCCCCACGGCCAGTGCCCACTCGGGCTCTGCAGTGTCCCTGGGGCTCTCCTCCGGCTGCTCCAACTCCCCCACCTCCCTCTGCAATATGCAGACCTGGGGCAAGTTCCTCGAGTTCAGAACAGATTAAGCTCCTCCATCTCAAAAAGTTGTTGCCAGAAAATGTTGTATTTTTAAGTTTTGATGGGTGTCCTCGAGGCAAAAAGGATTTTCCCACACACAGTGCAAAAGAAAACCACCACCGAAAAGGCAAAACACAGACATCAAACCAGGCTCTGGACATTTTAACACCAGGTCGAAGAAAAGGAGAACAAAAAAAGCCAAGATAATTGCTGAAAGAATGCTGGAAACAGGACGCGGCGTCAGATACGCATCAAAAACAAGCGGTCACAACAGGAAGCGTTTCCCTGTGAACAGGTTCCTCCAGCTTTCCCACGTGGGGCTGGCTTCGGTGCTGCCAGGCGGCCTGCGGGGTGGTCACCGCCAGGGTGTCCCTAGAAGCCCGGCCAGCCCCACACAGGGTCAGCCTGAATGGTCAAGACCATTCAGCTTTTACTGAGTGGAGCTACCCAGGGTCAGAGCCCCGTCCGTGTGCGAGGAGAAACTTACCGATGGCAGAGCCGTTAAGGAAAAGTGCAATGCCGAAGAGGACGCCGACGCAGAGGGCGAGGATGAAGGGCCGCCGGCGGCCCCAGCTCAGGGTGCACCGGTCACTGGCAGACCCAATGAGAGGTGTGAAGATGAGGCCAAGGATGGGGCTCAGGAACCAGGTGAGGCTGTAGTACTGCTCCGGAAGGCCTGCAAGGGACACGAGGGCCGTTGTACACACAAGCACTGGCCGGGCTCTGCCACAGTCTGCGTGGGAGCCTGGTGACAGCAGGTGCCTCTGTATACATGCGTGCACACACGCACGCACACACGTGCACACCCCCCACTCGGGTTGTGTCTCTATGGGGTGGACTCTTTTTTCAGCAAGGCCAGATATCTGAAGTCAACCTGGCCACAATATAAGCATCAGGTGGCCAGAGAAAAGCAGCCGGGCCTTGGAGGGCCAGTGGGCCCCACCTGCCCAGGCCCCAGCCTGAGGGACAGCACACGCTGACCGCGCAGGCACGTGGAGGGCACCCTGCCCAGGGCTGGACACGGGCTGAGAGCCCCTCCACACGGCTGGTGCTGACCAGGGCTTCGGGGCTGCTGTAGGCCACTTGGAGGGGGACAGGCACAGGGCCACTGTCCCTCGACACCAGACGGTCTACAAGAGCAGGATGGGGACTGCAGCTTCACAGAGGCAGGAAGGGCCCACCAAACCTGGACCTCACTGGCTGAAAATGCACCAGAGGGTCCCCACAGCCAGCAAAGGGCTGCTCTGAGTGGCTACTGAGTTGGGGCAGCGGGGATGAATGTGTCCAGCTGGAGCCAAAGGGCTGCAGATGACACCTGTCACGCTCACCTTCTCCTTCCTGACCACCCAGGGAGGCAGGAAATACTGTGCCTACTGCAGACAGGGATCAAGTTCAGAGAGGTCAGGTAATCCACCCTGGGTCACAAAGCTAGGATTTCAGCCCTGGGCTACCTGATTTCAAACTCTGTTCCTGAGTCTACAGGCTGCCTCCCTATCACACAAACCCGCGTGTCCATCGCCAGCCAGGTGGGCACATGATGTGGGCACGGTCATAAGCGCCACAGCACGGGAATGCGCAGCCGTGTGCATGAGCTCACTCACAGCGCCGAGCGAAGCGGTCGCACACAGACGGGCACACGCCTCTGACGCCTATTGTGTGACGTCCAAAGGCGCGGAAAGGACTCTCTGCTGTGAGAACCTGGGTGCCGGTCACTCTTGACGGGGGGCAGTGGCTGAAGCGAGGTGGGTTCTGGGACTGAGGGTCTCTTCTTGATCTGGATGGGAGTCCCACGCTCCAGCCACGTGGTGCCAATTCATCCCACAGGGGACCTGAGATCTGTGCCCTCTCCCCACGCTGTACGTCAGGAAAACGCTGCCTTACAAAAGGTGCTTGACACGCCAGTGGCTCATCTGGCTAACGTTTCACACTGCCAAAAGCCACTGCGAGTATTGTGTTGAACTTGCAAGAAAAATAAACTTGTGTGGGAGGAGGAAATCATTTTCAGAGGAGGGAAGCAGCTTTCACAATTACTGCTAACGTGCCCACTCAAATATTTGCGCATTTGGCCGAGAATTTCAGGTGTCTGCTTTGACCTCTGCACTGCACACCTCAGGAAGGGTGAATTTTATTCCTAAGTCAGCAGAAAGGACTGATGTTTCAGGAAGTGTGGAGTCTGTGGAGCGTGTCCACTGGACGGGTGAGAATTTACATGGCAGACCCGGGTTCCTTGGCGTCCCTGCCCTTGTTAATAATTATCCATCAGGAAGCCTATTTCTCAGAAGGGGCTCTTTATCAAAACTACACAGAGGGCGCAGAGATAATGGGAAGTGGTTATTACCCTTACCCTCACCACATGCAGACTGAACTAATCACTGTGGGCAAACCCCGTGACGGGTGGCCCTGGCAGAGCTGTGGGGCCTGTGTGCTGGCTGCCCTGGCCCCTCTGCAGTGTGTACCCGGAAGGGCTCTGGGTGTCTCCTGTAGTGGTGTGCTGGTTCTCACCTCCCTGCCTACGGAACCTCCACCTGCTGTCACTTTTCAAACTCCTTGGGGGCCATCCACCCAGGAGGCCCCCGCTACCCTGGGCACAGCAGTGCCTGCCTTTTCCACACAGCATCCAAGCCGCCTAGCCACCCACATGCACTCCTGAGAGACCGTGCCCCCCCCCCGGAGGGCTGTGGCCGCTCCCTCCTCTCTCCGTGCCACCCACCCAGGCTGGCACCAGATGGGAGCTGTGACTCACAGAGGGCTTGAACGCTAGCTGACCTGAACCAACACCATCTGACCATTTCCAGTAGGCCTCGTTCCTTTTTGAAAAACCTGCATTTTCATCTGATAGCCCTTCCCTTAAGCCTGAAGGATTTTCTTTAGTTGTTTTTTTGTTTTTAGCATTTCTAATACAGGGGCTCTAAGAGCGACAAATGTGCTTGGATTTTGTCTGAACTCTCTTTATTACCCTTTGACTCTTGAAGAATACTTTTGCTGGACACAGAATTCTAGGTGAACTCCTCCCAGCCCAGATCCTTGAGGATGTCATCCGCCGTGTTCGGAGCGCTAGTTTCTGACAGGGCAGCTGCGGTGACCTCCGTGCGTGTTCCCTCCTATGTCACTGATGTATCTTTTTTCCTCGAGCTGCTTTAAAGATTCTCTTTACTGTTGCTTTTCAGCAGTTTGACAATGACGAGCCTAGACAGGGATTTCTGTACACACCTCCTGGCTGGGCTTCCTTGAGCTTTATGAATTTGTAGATTTATATTAACATTTCACCAAGTTTAGAAAACATTCCATATGTCTTACTTCAAAGCGGTGGGTTTTTTTTTTTTTTTTTTTTTGAGACAAGGTCTTGCTCTGTCACCCAGGGCTGGAGTGCCATGGCGCAATCTTGGCTCATTGTAATGTCTGGCCTCCCGGGTTCAAGCAATTCCTGTGCCTCAGCCTCCTGAGTAGCTGGGCACAGGTGTGCACCACCACACACGGCTAAGTCTTTGTATTTTTTGTAGAGACAGGGTTTCACTGTGTTGGTCAGGCTGGTCTTGAACTTCTGAGCTCAAGCGATCTGCCCACCTTGGCCTCCCAGAGTGCGGAGATAACAGGATTGAGCCACTGCTCCTGGCCCTTCAAGATTTTATGTCCCATTCTCTATTTCTTTTCTTCTGGGGTTCCAATTACAGACATGAGACCTTTGAGGTCATCCCTGTTTCCTGGGGCTTCCTTCATTTCTTTTTTTCTCCATATGATTATTTCTACTGATTAATCATTAAGTCCACTGACTCTTCTGTCCTCTCTAATCTGCCGTTAACTGCATCTGGTTCCTTTTCTGTTTTGATGCTGTTATTTGTTCAGACCTAGAGCTTCCATTTGGCTTTTTCTATAGCTTTTATTTCTCTGCTGGGACTCCCTGCTCTCCATTCTGAGTGTGGTTTCTGTCCTTCGGCATAGTTGTGCACACCCATCTGGCCAGCACGGCGCGTGGCGTCATCGTGGGTCAGCCTCCACTGCCTTCTGAGCAAGGGTCCCCTTTGCTTTTAAAAAAACATGGCTGCCGGTGCGGTGGCTCACGCCTGTAATCCCAAAACTTTGGGAGGCTGAGGTGAGTGGATCACCTGAGGATGGGAGTTTGAGACCAGCCTGACCAACACGGAGAAACCCTGTCTCTACTAAAAATACAAAATTAGCTGGGTGTGATGGCACATGCCTGTAATCCCAGCTACTCGGGAGGCTGAGGCGGGAGAATCACCTGAACCCGGGAGGTGGAGGTTGTGGTGCGCCGAGATCGAGCCATTGCACTCCAGCCTGAGCGAAACTCCGTCCTTCCAAAAAAAAAAAAAAAAAAGGTGGAATAATACTGAGTTGTATCCTAGACACTGTGGAAGCTGTATTATAGGTGACATTGTTATATTCCTTTGAGAGTGATTTGAGAGTGTTTGTGGTTTTATTTAACACAGGGTTTGAAATTCCCGCCCCATATCCTAACTCTGCCTGTGGGCTTTTCAAGAAAGGGAGAGTGGAGTTAACCACCCAAGTTTTAGCCACCCTGGGCTGCATCAACCAAGGCCAACCATTGGGTTAAAAGTGGTGCCAAGTGAGAAACCCGGGCATTCCCTCTTCCAGTGGTCACCCTCCTGCTTAGTTTCTGCCCCGAGCACTGGCTGGGTGTCGGGAGGAGCTGTAGGTGGGACCCAGTCCACCCGCTCTAGAGGCGGCGCTGCGTGCACAGACCTGTCCCGCCTTCATGCTGACAGCCTTGGGAGATGGGAAGACGCTGGGTCCAGAGCAGCCCTGGACCAGACAGCCGCCCCAGCCCACAAGGGAGGCTTCTCACCCCAGGAGACAAGAAGAAACGGAGGAATGGGGGGAACTGCTGGGCCCGGGCCAGGCCCTCAGCTTCCCATTCCTCCTATGGAGGCTGCTTCTCCAGCCTTGCACCATGGGCCCCTCCAGAGCCTGGTGGTACCGGGGCCCCAGGTATCCCTGGCACCTCCACCCACAAGCATCCTCCCCTCTGCCCTCTGCTCCGACTCCTATAGCCCCACAGATGCCCTGGCCCCCCTGCGGCCCTGGCCCGTCCCTCCGGTATTGCCAGCCCCCAGCCCTAGGTCAGGCCTCCCCATGTCTCCCTCTGACCCCCACTAACTCACCCCTATGCCTGCCCCATCTACCTTGGGACCCAGGGCAGCCCCTCAAACCATACAGCTGCCATGGACTGTGCTTCTTCCACTGTTCCTTCCTGACGTGATTTTCACTTTACACCCTGTGGGGTCAGGGCAGTGTTCCCACCTTCAACGGAACACTGCCGGGCTTGCGGGGTTCCTTTCTCCATCCTCCCCTCTGCTTGGACAACCCCAAGCCTGCACATCAGGACTGGCCCTTGGCGCATTCTAAGGGGACCAGTGGAGATGCAGAGCCCACTGCGGCACCACCACCTGTGCCTCCTGCTGGGGTGCCCTCCACGTTCTTTCCCTGGAAGGGGTGGCGCGCTGGCACCAGGCATCTACACCCAACGACAGCTGTCACTGCTGAACCCCTCGGTGGGCCTGGCGCCACCCCAGGTGCTGGCCTGCGTACTCTGGAGGAACCCAGAGTCCAGCCAGAACGGGAGACAGACGACTGGGGTACACAGGGCGGGAGGGGCTGCCAGGGCCAAGGAGGCTTCCCTCGGATGGCATGCAGTGGAGG